TATTTATAGAGCACTTTAAAACATACAGGTATATATACTTAATATAGATATAATAATATATATATATACACACACACACACACACACACACACACACACAAAACAATAAAACAATACTTAATAACGAAGACACTAGACCTGACCTCCATCTTGACAAATCGTGATGTTTGCATTGACTCTGCATGTGTCACATGGCTGTAAAGCGGCTGTTCTGATTAATTATAGTGAAGCATGTAAACGCTTGATCAGAATAGATCACATATCGTAAATAGCACAGCCACCTTATCTATATCTATATTTATATTGCACTTAATTGAACAGTGTACATTGAAACTAACATTTATTTTGTAAATGCAAACACTTTGTTTTTCTTCTTTCTTCTTTCTACCCACAATCTTGCTGCTGTAGACTGTAAATTTCCCTAGGGTGGGACAAATGAAGGATATCTTATATGTATAAACAGTTGATCAAAGATTTTGAATCAGAATTATCAAAGATGAGCCAAATCTTATATCAACACTGATCCAGAAATTAAACTTAACAAGAAAATGTTACTCATCTCTCTGGCTCAAGATCCAATATTGTGAAAATAACAAGACTGGAAGACTGGAAAACTCCCCTCCGAGGCACATAGAGTAATTTCCTCTGCATAATTGCCACCACATCAGGCGTGGAATTTAAGTGTGAGTTCATAAATGCTTTTTTTAAGCTTTACAATGCATCAGAAGAAGGTTGAAAAAGCAGGAAATCGAGGAGACAATCAGTATAAGCGCTGACATATACTCAGAAACTGAAATATGTCGAAAGATGACACCTTAACGAAACCAATATCAGAACACAGGACTGTTTGCCATTCACGATAATGAGCTTGACAAGGTTTTCTCAATCGCATATTTCAAGTAAAGAGAAATTGTCAATGCAGTTGTCCTTGAAATTGTTTTTTCCAAGTTCAACTTGATTGATTGTTTTTGTGTAAACATATTCTATCAAAACACAACTTCATATTGCCTTCTTGGAGAAACTTTCCACAATTACAAATTAGGAGCAGGCCTCAGCTATAACTAGTGAATCACGTTTTACCATATTGCAAATTCAACTATTAAAGACATCCCTAAAAAGAAAAACATTTCCTCAGAATATCAGCAGAAGTAAGATAGAGGAAAGTAAATGGATGGCCTTAGTATAACCTTAGTCAGAGGATGGCTCCAAAAATCCCTTCGCCTAAGGCTAGGATTAACATGTCAAGCAAGCAAGGTGTATAAAAGGGTGAACACACACTCATCTATCAGTCCATCAATTTTCTTCTGGTTATCCGGGTCAGGTTGCAGGGGCAGGAGACTGAGAAAAGAAGCCCAGACTTCCTTGTCTCAAGCCACTTTGTCCAGCTTTTCTGGGGTCACAATGACATGGAACCATTAGCTAGTAGAGGGCTTCTCTGGTGTGTTTTGGGTGGTCTCTGGTTCCTCTACCGAGTGAGACATGGCCGGACCATGTCATCAGGGAGGTTTCCAGGAGACATGCTAACCCAGATGTCCAAGCCACCTATCTGGCTCCTCTTGATGGAGAGGAACAGTGGTTCTTCCACGATCTCCTACCAGAGGACTGACGAAGGGAAAACCCGGAAACCCTTTGGGTCACTTGTAACTGTACAACCCATAGGTCATGTGAAAGTGGGATTGCAGCTTGGCCAGTAACTTTATAGCTGAACTTTTTGGCTTAGCACCCGCTACACTTTGACAGATCGATGCAAAGTCCGCATCACCGCAGATGCTGCAATGATCAGTCGGTCATTTTCCAGCCTAATCATTTTCTTCACTCTTCAACAAGAGTCATTTGGGATTTTAATTACACCCTTTTCTGACTGAGGTCACCTAACCGTGGTGGAAGGGTTTGCGTGTCCCAATGATCCAAGGAGCTAAGGTGAGGGACTAGAAGAAGCACAGCTGAGAGACAATCCTTAGGATGTTTGGGAAATTTGGATCACGTTTTCCCTTGCCTGGACACAGGTCACTGGGGCCCCCCTCTGGAGCCAGGCCTGGCGGTGAGGCTCGCTGAGGCTCTGGGCCAGAATGCATGGGGCCGAAAAGGCCACATGGGTCCCCCTAGTCATGGGCTCACCACCTGTGGGCGGGGGCCAAAGGGGTCGGGTGCCCTGTGAGCTGGGTGGAGGCAAATGGCGGGCACCTTGGCGGTCTAATTCCCTGCTACAGAAACTAGCTCTAAGGACATGGAATGTCACCTCTCTGACTGGGAAGGAGCCTGAGCTGGTGTCTGAGGCAGGGAAGTAAAAAGTGGGAAATGACGTGAGACCTAAGAAGGGAGTGATTGGGAAGAACGCCCCCCCTTGATCTGAACCAGAGTGCTGTTCTGTTACTGGACTTCTGTGCTCGTCATGCCGTGTCCATAATGAACACCATGTTCAAACATAAGGGTGTCCATATGTACACGCACCAGGACACCCAATCGTCAGATTTGCAGATGCATGTTTTAGATACGTGGGTAGAGAGGGGCGAAGCTGTCAACTGATCACCACCTGGTGGTGTGTTGGCTCCGATGGTGGGGGAAGATGCTGGTCCGACATGGCAGACGCAAACGTATTGTGAGGGTTTACTGGGAACACCTGTCAAAATTCCCTGTAAGAAAGAATTTAAATTCCCACCACCGGCAGAACTTTGCCCGCGTCCCGGGAGAGGCAGGAAACATTGAGATCAAGTGCACCATGTTTCATGCCTCTATAGAGGCGGCCGATAGGACCAGTGGCCACAAGGTGGTCGGTGCCTGTCATGGCGGCAATCTCCCGGAACCCGTTGGTGGACCCCGACGAAAGGGACGCTGTCAAGCTGAAGAAAGAGTCCCATTGGGCCTTTTTGGCCTGTAGGACTCCAGAGGAAGCTGACAAGTACCGGCTGACAAAACGGAAAGCAGCTTCGGCGGGCGTTGAGGGAAAAAGGAATGAAGGAAACCAGAGTACCCGGAGAAAACCCACACAGGCACGGGGAGAACAAGTAAACTCCACATGGGATAGCCAGAGCCTGGAATCGAACCCTCTGCACTGTGAGGTGGATGTGCTAACCAGTCAATCACCATGCCGCCACCAATTATACATGTTCTCAATTAATTGACAAGTGGGCCAAAAAGAAACAAGTTTACACAGCGTTACATAACCGCTGTTGTCGCTGTGAGTGGTTAAATATCAATTCTAATTCAAAGTTCATCAGAAAAACAATAACGCAACATCATCTACAGTATATGCAGAGAACATTGGCTCAGAAAGGTTGTGACCTGAACTGAATGAACAGCCAAGCCTGCACCTCAGGCCCAGATTAACAGGTCAACTTAGACTGAAGTTAATGAGACCCAGCAACACTTTACATACCACTGCTGTTTACAAAAAAAGCAAGTTGGAGAGCTCATGTCCGTAAAATGGGGAGTAGTTGTTTTCTTGAGCAGGTGAAAAAAAGGACAGAGAGAAGTTGAGAAGGTTATACAAAGGCATACCATTGGAATAGAAACAAGATAGGAGAACTAAAATCTTTTAAAAAGCACAATTAAATTGATATGATTTGGAACCAAAGACGTCTGCCGTAATGTGCAAAGAATGTTTTGCATGTCCCAAATATCTCCTATATATAACCAAATTCTCTTGGTTGGACAATATCACTTGAAATCAGGGCTGGGCAATAATGAGCTACATTTATGCTGTTAAAATTAAAAGTATTGTATTGTATGTGGAGTATACCTTTGTAATTCTACTTAAGTATTTTCATAAAGATGAAACTATACTTTCACTCCATTACAGTAGCTACGTGGATTTTGATCTCCTGGTATTTATTATTGCGTGCACAATCCATTTTGGTTTGTAAGAGACATGTCACATGACCCTGTTTCATCAATCCAATGTCACTACTAGCGATATTTGATTCCATTCGACCAATCAAATGAAACCAGGCTGTAACATGATTGTACAGCCCCACACATAACATTTCCAAAGTGACTCATTTACATGATATACCGGTAATTAAGTTAGCATCAGCGGAATAGAAAATGGAAGGACTAAGAAAACCTAAGATTGGGTGAGTGTTGGTTTTATGCATGGTGCCCCATATTTCCACACAATAAATCATCTACATTTTGGCATAAGCAGTGAACAGTTAAGTGCGTATGATGACTTCTAGGGGTGTCACAATATTCACAATAGATGCCTCGATACTGTCGCGGTTTATTTAGTTTGGGGTCAGCCCGTTGCGTACCATGCCGGATACAGCGCTCTCTACTTGCTACAGTAGACACACCTGATTGACGGATAAGCCATATGAGCATGGCATATGGGAGAAGAAATACACTGTTGACTGCCTGCCTGGCCTACGTGATTGAAACGCTGTGTTAAATGTGAAAGTACTGACTAAAACTGTCGCCGTAGCTCGAAAAAAAAAAGACAATCAATGTGTTAAATGTTCTGTAAAGCGCTTAGCTACGGCTGTAGCTGTTGTGAAAGTGCTACATAATTAAACATGTATTGTATTGGAGGCACGTTGTGGCCAGCTGGAAGGGACCAATGTGTCAGGCCGGTCAGTCTGCTCAGTGCGCTGACTCACCGGACGTGGTTTCGCACAGCAAACCCCGAAGCCCTGGAGGTAAACTTCGTCGGAAAAGTGAGAAGGGGGAAATGGAAATAATTAAGGAGAAGTTCTTCCAAGGAGGTAGGCTTGGCCTGGTCGGGTATAGTGATGTGTCAGTCGCGAATGAAACAGATGTGAGAGACCCTGGGCTGGTTGCCACTCATGAACACAACCATTCACACTCAGAATTGATTAATTTAGTCAGCAATGAACCTATTAAGCATACTTTTGGAATGTGGGAGGAAGCTTGAGTACCCTGAGAAGTGTGTGGAGAACATGAAAACTTCGCACAGGAAGGCCTTAGCAGATACTCTGAAACATAGCCTCAGGATGATGACAGAGACATGCTCACAACTACTTTATCGTGATGCCCCATCTTACCTGTCTTAAGTCGATAAAAGCCAGTTGCAGTGTGTCTCCTTGGAAGCCTGGGACTGGCTCGGAGCTGGCAAACACTGAGAACAAAGACACACTTGAACATAATACACTAAAATATCACTCACAGCAGATCATAAACACAAACTGTGTTGTTAATTCAGTCACAAACTAGAGAGAGAGAGAGAGAGAGAGAGAATACTGTATTTATATTAATACTTTTAAGCTTATAGGTCACTCCTACTGACTGACGTTAATTTATTTCCGGTTTCTGGTTCTGTTTAAGGGAGTAGAGTCCAGACACTTATGAATTTGCCTGCTAATTTGCTATTGGACAGTCTCCGATCTAACGCAGTTCCAGCCAGCTGTCTGTGAAAAGTATACTCGATCAGCCAAGCACTTAATTCCGGTGTCTCAAGATTACATGTCAACTTTTAAGCTGAGCAATTATAATGGATTCTCTGTTCTTCCTCGTCATGTTTTCTTGAGAACGATTCTTGTCAGAGGTGTAGCTTATTTGCTGTTACGGATGTGATGATGACTGACTTAAGACTCCACAAAGTATTTGGCCACACTTGTAGCTAGCTAAAGCTCATTGCCAGCTAGCTAGTGTGGCTTAAGTGACACACAAAGTTTGCCTTGACCACCGACTACCGGAGGTAGGTGATGTGAGAGATACGCGTATATCCAACCAGGAAAGCTTTTTCGGATATTTCAGGGGGTGATTCGGTATTTTTCTATTCAATGTGTTTTGATGAGGCAAAAAAATGATCATTTTGCCTCGCAAACTCTACCTTGGTTTACATGTATTGAGTGAAATTCCATTTTGTTATGTGTCAATGAAGCTTCTGTCGACTTGTTTAGTGATTGTGATTTAACAAGGAAAAGGGTTGCTCTTATTTAATAATTGATAAGCCGCAGCACAACATTTCAAAAGCATCCATTGATTAGGATGTTCGTTACGTCTAATTGTGGTGTATGTACATTCTTGGCTAGATACATTTTGATTAAACAGATGAGCTACTGGGCTTTTTCCATTCTCACTTATAGAGTAGTATTAATATTGATTGTAGAACAACTTTAATCAGGCATGGTAGGGATAAAAAAACAAACAAAAAAAAAACATTGTTAAGGACTGAGGCATTAAATCTCCATATTAATCGTTTCAGGATCTGCCATAAGAAAATCCATGGTACTAAAGAACAGAGTCATATAATTCTCCCACATTGTCTCACAAAATAGCAACCAATCCAATCGGAGACAACAGTCTCATCATTAATTTTCTTGTACTCACATTCACACTGAATTACATCTAAGTTGAATTGCTGAATGGCGCCCATGCTGATCTGTTTCAGCTCTGTGTCCAGCAGCATTTCCATCAGCGATGTGGACAGATGCTTGCATGCTGACATACAAGCTGTCTGGGCCACTTTACCCTGCAGAGAAAGCAATCGAGGAAGGGAGAGACAAGATGAGGCAATGACAAAGAAAAAGGGGATTGTGAATGCAGTGGGGGAACAAGTGGTGGAGGACAGGGAGTATGACAATGTATAAAGTGGACAAAAGGGACAAAACACAAAAGCAATAATTGATATGGGACACAAGTATGTCCAAAGATATTTCTGGATTTGTAAAAAAAAATTACATCATGCCAATGATGTGTGTGAGCTGTTGAAATGTTTACTTTCCCTTCACTGTCACGACAAGTTTTGATGTCACTGGTACAAATCAGTTGATGACTTTGTAAAGCAACGTTCATGTTACTGTCATGTTCATACTCTTATCGGGAACAGTAATTCAACTATAAACTGAAAGTGTTCATTGTATTGATGAGGTGGTGACAAGTGAATAAACCGGCAAAAAAAAGGGGGAACATTTTGGAGGGCCCTGAATAATATAACTTTCAAGTGAATCATTCGTAGGATGACTCTTATTCTTCACATACAAATGACAGTACAGTCATATAAAATACCGTATGTACTTTGTACAGATATAAAATAACTAAAACACACAAACATATGAACAAAACTACTTTTAGTCACCTTATTCTGTAGGGTGCAGGCAATCAACACGCACTTACTACAATTCTAATACATGTAGAGTCACTGAAATGTGCACGGCAGGGCATAACATTGTGTCGTAGTGATATGACCAAACCACACATTATGTCGAACGGGAAGGGCTGCAAATCTTGAATAATATATAATCCCACTGCACACTTTTTTTTGTGTGTGTGTCTGTCTTTATCTTAAGCGGCATGGTAGGTGTGTTCAAAAGCATTCTTGAAACTTGTTTCACTGATAATGCCTTTTTGAGTCGGTCGACTATTGTGTGTCCAGCAAATGTTATAGTAGGATATGAACATAGGAGAAGCTTGGTCATATTACTTGTTTCTTTAATTTAAAAGCACTGGACACATTTTCGACACACACACACACACACACACGCACGCACGCACGCACGCACGCACGCACGCACACAAACACAGCGCTCTCAATTATGATTTGAACGAGAAGAATCAGTGAGAAGAATAAATGGCAGTTTTAGCTTTTAATTATTTGGAGGTTTGATTTTTCTGTCATGTTTGTAAATGTTACTGTACATAGTTAATATTGCACTGAAGCTTGATTAGAAGAAAAGCGTGACTTGAATCCAAATGGTAATATCTGTCAGAAAAAAAATAATAAAATCACAATTCAATCGTTTCCCCCCCAAAAAAATCATTCAATCCTACTTACAAGTATCCCAACTTCATGTTTTTCATGCTGTTGCTTTGTGTCACTAGCGAGCTGCAGGAACACCGACACTCCAGTAACGGAGCCGTTAAGGTCCCTGAGTGCCCTTGCATGTGAGCAAGGAGAACAAGAGTGGCCGACACGTGCTTATTGAACGGAGACAGTCAAACAAAAGGAGAACACTCACAAAAGAGCAGCTGTGGGTGCCAATTCATGCCCAGACGCTTACAAGCAGACTAACCGACTCCAGCGCTTAATGTCACTCACTAGGCCGTGCCCCTTAAAGGCAAACACCCAACATACAAATAATAAAGTCCATAAGGTTACGCTTTATAAAAACTTTTTTTAAGCTTCTCTTTAATTGTGTTTTTCTTTATTAAAAACAATTCTATATTTACTTATGTACTTTTTGTTCTTCTACTTCTCCCTTTCATAATTTTTGCTGCTGTAAATTGGGAATTTCTCCTTTGTGAGACAAAGATGTTTCTTATCTTCTTATCTTCAAACAGTATGCATGCCTAAGTGCTTGATGTTATACAGTTGTTGCTATGGCAGTGATTAGGGATGAGTGATATCTATCGTCATTGATATCATTGTTACTTTCACAATGCGCAATTTCACATTATCGAGTATTAATCCTGTTTCAAAAGAGAACATGTCAATTGATTGGCTGCAAAGTAAATGATAAAAGTGATGAAAGTCCACATTTAGCCATTTAGCGTGCAAGATTCAGTCCGTGACTCAGTGGCCCCGAACAAAACGGCATTGTTTCGAATTGAGAACAAGGAATAGTCTCCCCATCTGCCTGGAAATGATTCGGCCCAATTATTTTTGTAATATGTGCTGAAAGTCATCGTGAAGAGCAACGCCCGACAAATCTGTCCCACCATGCACCAGCATGATGTATTACAAGAAAAATTCCACAAGCACAACTACTGCTAGAGACTTTTCTAAAGATAAGTAACGCTGAACAACACACGGATGAAACCCTCGCCAAGTTGAGCAAATAGAGGGCTCCGTCCTTTTAGCAATTACCCACAATGCACTACCGGCGGCCATATTGGAGGGCTGTTATAAACAAGCCATACACGAATAGACTTCGTGTATGGCATTTGTGTGCGGCATTTGTTGACGAACGGGCGAGCAAATATTTTCGGCAATATTGTGTAACTTGGGCATGCTTTGCATGACACCATCGAAGCCTCCATTTGAGTAAAAGCAAAAAGATGAACTCTGAGCAAGATTACAACTGCTGTCGTGCTTGGCATACTGGCAAACATCCAACTCGATGATGAAAAGGAGTCTTTTGTCATTTGATGCCACTTTTTTTTTGTTGTCATTGAACACTACACATCTGAAAGCAAAAGTCTTCAGGGCTAGACATGAGAGTATGTCCTGAGACAGTTTGGAACAGACAGTGGAAAACCAAAACAGTTGTGAGGCAGTGGCACTTCCACTGTCCAAACACGAGCATGCTTTTCATCACTCCCTTAAACAAGTGAAACAGCCAGGTAGCGATACTCACCGACATTGATGCATGGTCATTGTTGTTATTCTGAGCAGACCCCAAACCAACCCAACATGGACAAGGGGTGTGGAAAAAGGGAAGGAAAGGACAGGAAAAGAAATGCGGCAAGAATAAATGGACAGGAGGAGGAACATTTCAAGTAACGCGTTATTGCGTGCTGAAGACAAGTCAAAGTATTCAAGGAATAAAACAGGTGGGAAAATATTAGGAATAAAAAAAAATAAATACTTTTGAAGGGGCGTGGATGTGGCGGCAGTATATATTCTAAAAAAATAAAGAAATAAAACAACTGGAACGAGGTAGAAAATTGGATGTTTGGGATGAAAGGGTTTAGTACAAGGGAAGTAAACAGGATATAATTGCAAAAGCATAAAAATTATATTAAGATTAAAAAAAAAAACTCTGCTAAAATGGCCAAGTTAGCGATGACATGCAAGAGCTGTCAAGTCAGGAAGGTCTTGCCATGCGTATATTGACAAATCAATATAAGACACTCCAAATGTCCCCATTACATTTAGACATTCATATTTTTCCCAAGGAAAAAAAAACTGTGGACTTTTTAGCGAAACGATGTACTGTCAACAAAAAGGCAATGGCTTTTGCAACACAAAGTTCCAAAAGAGTCCATCCAATTTTCTCAACGGCTCGGCTTTGCAGCCAAAACAGCTATGTTCACAGCGTAAAAAGTCAAGTGAACTCACCGGGAGGTGTGTGAAGACTTGAAATGTGGATCGTAGGAAATTGATTAGGTCCATGAGATAACCTGAGGCACGTCCGTCAGACTCAGCCATACTCCATTCATAATCCGCCAGCTGGATAAACTCATCAATTTTCTGGTTCAGTTTGGTGTAAATTTCTCCTTCTGCAGCATGACGTGCATCCTGGAAATGTAAAATTTCGAGAAAAAAAAAACGTTTGGATATCAATTTTGATTGGAACAGCAGAAAGGGATGCAAGAGCATTAATTACATAAATGACATTTCTCCCATGACGATAACAAAGTACAATTAAAATGTAACAAGATATATCCAGTTGGGATTTAAACACTAAGATAACAAATATCTACTGTGAAAAGATGACCAGGCCTTACCTTGAAAGTAGACAAGCCATAGAGTCTTGTCGTGTGCACCGTTTCGGGAGACACATTGGTGATATTTGTTATAAATTCCTCAAGATACCTGCAGGCCTGCTCGAGGTGGGTGGTATTGATGATGATCTGCACCAACTTTTAGAGAGAAGACAAAGTCACATTCACACAACTCGAAGGTAGAGAAACACTGGCACAGTTTTTTTTTTTGTTGTTTTTGTTTTTTTTTTGGCGGATGCTTTTTGCTGTGCTCCCCCCACCCCAACCCAACCCCACCCCGCACCCCTTGACTCCTCTGCTTTGCTGACATTGTCTAATGTGCTGTCCTCTGTAAGTATATAGCTTCCGTATTTTTTTTCCTCTTCCGAAAAGACAAACCAAACTGGACTGCGCCGGATGGAAAGAACACACGGATGCACGAGTCTTATCTCCCTATTTTCTTTTCCTTACTCCCCCATGCCTGTGTCTGATAAGGTGTTGGCCTTGCAGCTGCAGGGCCAATGTCAAAGTCTTTGCTGTATTCATGTTCAGTCTGGAGAATTTTAGAGTGTTTTTAAATGTATGCTACATGTGCTGAGGTTTTTTTTTTCTCGTATGTTTTTTTTTTCTCTCCTCTTCCCGACTGTTTTCCTTTCACATCTAATATATCGGAGCGCTGAACAGCAACCCGTCAGATTTCTCGTTCTGTCTCCCCCCGTGCTGGTTATTGCTCTCTTGTCGATGTTCATCTGAATGGGTTGTAACTTGGAAGTAAATTCCTTGTGTGTTTCTTGCATACTTGGCCAATAAATCTGATTCAGATTCTGTTTGTACCTCGGTCAGCCCTATGTGCGGCTTCTTGATGAGGTTTTGCAGACAACTGCTGAGTGTTCTTGTCAGCAACAGATTGGTTGATTTCCGCAGCATGTCATCAATCTCTGTTGAACTGGATGAAAATAAATAAATAAAAATTAAAAAGCATAACAGTGGTGTTGTAAGATTAGTTTAAAGACGAAAAATGTATGGCAAAAGTAAAAAGTTAATGTCTGCTTTGCTACATAGTAAGAAAGAAATAATTGTTGGTGTTATTGATTACAGTTCATTGAGATGTACCTGCGGTGAAGTGATTCGGAGAACTTGAGGCTGGCATAAATGAACTCTTTTACTTGCATATATATCTGTGGCACAGACTGGGACATTGGCAGCTTCTTAGGAAAATCCTGCTACTCACAAACAAAAACAAACAAAACAAAAATAGAGTTTTGACAACTTAATTGAATTAGGAAATTTCTAACTATTTCCTTTAACCCTTTCATGCAACCTGATAACATAGTAAGCTGTCCACTGTAGTGACCAGCCGTCCCTGAAAGGGTTAATGTGCTGATATGATAAAATAAATAGACAAACTTCTGTAGCTAATGTCAAGTTACAACACTACATTGCACACTTTTGAAAGAAAGGTTTCTGAGCACTGTGCCTTTTGATCAACTTTCATGTTTTAATGCAACACAATTATGACATTGAACTATATTTACCTTTTCTATCTCTGCATCGTGAAATGGGAAGCGACTGACCACCAGGTTATATTCGTCATCTGTTTCCACTGGGATGGGACTGTAGTTGTCCAATTCGAAGATCTCCCTGCAGAAGTATTCAGTTAATCCATTCTCCAGTAATATGCAAGTCATTCATTTGTTTTCAAATTTGGTCCAGCTGCTTCTCATCTTGTAGTTTTATATTCTCTGATTCACATGAATTTCCCAGATACTCGCTGATTAATCACAGATTGTTTTTTTAAATAATTATTTAATAGTCACTCGTAGTCATTTTATTGTCGTCAAATCAGTAATGTATGGCAAATTTATTGCCAACATTTACCCTTCCCTCACATGGACATTAGAAACATAACAGCAGAGCCTAAATTTGGGAAACTACTTTAGAGACAAAAAAAAAGTGCCAGTAATAGAAACACTGAAACACGCACCTGAATACCAGCGCCCACTTCTTCAGTAGAGTTTCATTGTACTGATCTCGAACCTCAAACAGCAGGTCAAATAGCCGATTCACAGGGAAACCAAAACCCTTTGTATGGATGCATGCAAAGAAAAAAAAGAAATTCAATCACATAATGAAGGTAAGCACTTGAATGAGGGGGCGAGACAGAACAACAACCTGTAGTGTGTCCGCAAATATAACAATCAGGTTCTTCAGTTCCAAGACCAGGTCTGGATCCTCACAGTATGACTGAGGGGGGAAAAACAGGATCAATACACTATGTTTGTCTGAACGATGGAAGGATTGCAATGAATGTAGCGTCAATGAAAAACAAACACATTTTAGTGGAATTCAATTGTAACTGGAATTTTTGGATATTTATTCATGTATGTATGTATTTATTTATTTAATGTTTATTTACTTCACATGGCAACAATTCGTTTGCTACAATAATTATGGTGCACCATCATTACCATCAACCGATGATGATCAAATTCCAATACAATTATATCCATCCATGCATCCATCTTCCGATCCGTTTATCCTCACAAAGGTCGCGGGGCGTGCAGGAGCCTATCCCAGCTGTCTTTGGGCAATATGCGGGGGACACCCTGAACTGGCTGCCAGCCAATCGCAGGGCACACATAGACAAACAACCATCTGCGCTCACAATCACACCTAGGGACAATTTGGAGTCCCCAATTAACCTGCCATGCATGTTTTTGGAATGTGGGAGGAAACCGGAGTACCCGGAGAAATCCCACGCAGGCACGGAGAGAACATGCAAACGCCACACAAGAAAGGCCGGAGCGGGAATCAAACCCTGCACCTCAGCACTATGAGGCGGACGTGCTCACCGTGCCACCCTCCCACCCTCCAATACAATTATATCTGCAAAACTCATTAAAAACTATATATAAATCCAACTGGAGACCAAGTAAACCAAAACTTGGAAAGAGTAGTATCCGAAATACAGCGCATGAAAGATTGAGTAAAGGTTAGGACAGAATCCCTCCATTTTCCTCTGGTTCAGAGTGATTTACGAGCTTTAAAGTAGCACCACTGAGTTCCTTCGCCCAGATACAAGGACCCTGTCGAACACAGGAGTTTGTAAATCAAGGAGTGCAACGAACAAAGCCTGACATTTGACATGAAGGAGCACTTGAATGACACTTTATTTACTCAAGACGCAACGCCGGACGCAAAAACAAATCAGATGGGGATTGGAGTGAACAGCAGCAAAGCGCAGGACAGGTACTGCAATATGTTCGAGTACGGTAGTTAATTTGCTCAAACCCGCAATTTTTTTCTCAGCCAGAAGCCGAACCATGGATACAAAAGGCAAAAGTCTTTAAAAAAAATGCACTGTGATAGCCACAAAAGTAATAGAAAATGTATTCCCCGAGTCTTGCGTCACAGAAAATGCGATAATCAAATTACTTCTCAAGATTAGGGAAATACTTCTTGTGGTTTTACCATTTAATAATTGCAAATGTGGAGCTGCCTGGGTCTATCTCCAGAAAAAGGGCAGCCAGTAGGAGGGTGACCGGGAGCTTTTGTCAAAGTCACCCCACACTGTGTGGCCCATTCTTCTGGCCTGTTAGCATAATCCTCCTGGTAATTTACAAGTGATTGGAGCTCAATGGTCAGGAATATACCATCTTGAACTGCTGTTATTGTTGTAATCTGTCTCTCATTAAGGCTCCGATGACCTACTCTTTGACTGTGTTTTAACCCTTTTCTCGAGAGTGACATCATTATTGGGTTTGTGGGTGTGCTGACCTTTCAGTGTGTTTTTTTTAGGCGGGGGGGCTTGTGTGGCAGGAACATGGCTAGTGAAAGAAGCTTCTTTCATGATAAACAGATTAACGGAAGACGATTATCTCGATTAACTTGGAATTGTCTAATCTGAATTCACAGCCAACTCCCTGATACAGCTGGGTTAATATGACAATATATGTCTCGAAAAAAACATTCGGTCATGTCACTTTTCGACTATCGTGTCCAAACTGAACAGCGGAGATTGTCCCAAAAAGCTTCGCCGGGTTACTTATGTCACCTGTAGCTGGGTAGTCAGCAGGTCGAGGCGAGATGCTGCAAAAGCTAGCAACGAGCTGTGCCTGGTTACTACGACTTGCTCAACACGTTGCGGTTTTGCTCCTAAGTCAATAATCACAGCATCTATGGCAGCAAACAAGTGACACTTCTTCCAAGTATCGTTCTGACGAACAGGTCATGAGGAGTAATAAACAGAGGGAGAAAACGTTTCTGTTGAAACAAGTTTCACAGTTTGCACATGAAATATCTTGTCTTGGTCGCGTATTCGATTAAATGTAGGTTGAACATAATTTGCAAATCATTGTATTCTGTTTTTATTGAGGTTCAACACAAGCTCCCAAGTTAATTGGAATTGGGTTGGTACATTACAGAAAAGCTCATCTTTTTATTATTTTTTAAAAATAAATTTCTTTTTTTACTCATTTTTCTACTTTGCTTCCGTTTACATTAGATGATTTTATGTAGCAGCACCACTGGATGCACTTCTCATTTGATACAGGTCAGTTTAATGTCACTTCAGCGTAAACTGAGAGAAGGTTAGCAGTTATAGTGTGTTGTGTATTTTTTTTTTTTTTTTTTTAATGGACTAACAGAAAATATACTGTGGTATATCATTATCGTGATACAGCCATCCATTTATCCATCGCAGCCATCTCCGGGTAATAGGCGGGGGACACTCTGAACTGGTTGCCAGCCAATCGCAGGGCACACATAGACGAAGAACCATCCGCACTAACACATACACCTAGGGACAATTTAGAGTGTTCCATTAACCTGCCATGCATGTTTTTGGAATGTGGGAGGAAACCGGAGTACCCGCAGAAAACCCACGTTGGCACGGGGAGAACATGCAAACTCCACACAGGAAGGCCAGAGCCGGAATCGAGCCCTACACTTCTGCACTGTGAGGCCGACACACTAACCAGTCGACCACCGCGCCGGCCAAGCATGATATAAAATGGCCTATATCGTGATAGATCTTTTTTCCATAACGTCCAGCACTACTCCCTGCTAGCATGTGTTTGTGTGTGTGCAGGCATGTGCGTGTCCTGAATGTGTTCATGCTGGTATGTGTGGAAGCCTACCGAGTGTGTGCGGAGCACAGCGATGATCTTGGCCAAGGCCATATTCCACAGTTCATCAGTGAAAGCTTTGGTCACCAACCCTTGAGTGGCATGGAGGATATGGTCCTCCACAACAAAGAACCTGATTATGCACACAAATTAAAGTCCTGAAATGTCATGCCAATTTCTTTTAATATGATCAACATGGCATCCGATCATACATTTTGAGCTTTTACAGAAAATGAAACATGAAACGTACAAAATATGTTGTAATTTCCAAGGGGTGAGGGGGGGACATCTTACCCTACAATCTGATTGAAGTATCTTCTGTAGCCCTCCACTGTTTCATGCTAGAAACAGAGAAACGTTAGGTTGATACACATTTAGAAATTAGTTTCAAGGAAATTATATACGGTGTGTGTGTGTATTGAGAGAGAGAGAGAGAGAGAGAGAGAGAGAGAGAGAGGGAGAAAATACAGAATACGGGGCGTGCTGGAGCCTATCCCAGCTGTCTTCGGGCAGTAGGCGGGAGGACACCCTGAACCGGT